GACCTACTGTGAGACCTCAGACACTGCCGGCTGCTGTCTGCTTGACCTCTCACCCCTGTAGCCCCACTGTGGGGTGACTGAGGAGGGACTGCGGCTGAGAGAGGTGGAGCCACTTGTATTCCAGGATCACACAGGGAGTGATGGTGCAGACCAGCCAGTGACCCGAGCCTGACTCAAGACCCATGCGTGAATGCTGGAAGCTGCTGATAGCCAAAGAGGAAAGCAAGCACGTGTGCAGTTGTTCCCTGCTTTCCCCAAATAATTGTGTTCCTCTTGCTCTTCCACAGCATGTTTGATGTTGGCGGCCAGAGGGATGAGAGGAGAAAATGGATCCAGTGCTTTAATGGTGATTTTTTTAATGCTATCTCAAGAAAATGGGAGTGAATTCTAACACTCAGCATTGCTGTGCTTAACTGTTTTTGAATTAGATGATCTCTAATCTAACTAGTATGTAAAGTATAGCATTTTATAGATTATGATTCTCCTTCCTTATATACTAATCTCACTAAAAAAAGCATTTAAGGGCCGGGTGCAGTGGCTCATGGCTGTAATCCCAGCACCTTGGGAGGCCAAGGAGGGTGGATAACCTGAAGTCAGGAGTTCGAGACCAGCCTGGCCAACGTGGTGAAATCAGGGTTCTACTAAAAATGCAAAAATTAGCCAGGTGTGGTGGCGCACGCCTGTAATCCCAGCTACTCAGGAGGCTGAGGCAGGAGAATCGCCGGAACCTGGGAGGCAGAGGTTGCAGTGAGCCAAGATTGTGCCATTGTACTCCAGCCTGGGCAACAAGAGTGAAACTCTTTCTCAGAAAAAAATACAAAAATACAAAAATGAGCCAGGCATGGTGGCACATGCCTGTAATCCTAGCTACTCGGGAGGCTGAGGCAGGAGAATCACTTGAACCTGGGAGGCGGAAGTTGCAGTGAGCCAAGATCATGCCATTGCACTCCAGCCTGGGAGACAAGAGTGGAAACTCCATCTCAAAAAAACAAAAAAAGCGTTTAAGCATCCCAAATTTACATGTGTCTTTTGGGGTGGGCTCTTCATCAAGTGCGTTACTGAAGCAACCAGTGGTGCGCACGGCGCACGTGCAGGCTGTTCTGTGACTGAATAGTCTTATCACTGAGTGAATGTTTTTGTGGAACTGAGTGGCTGCTGGGTGTATACTTTCTTGTAATTCCACAGCAAGGGTGTCTAACTGAGGTGCTTTCCTTTTTCTCCCCACCAAGATGTCACGGCTATCATTTACGTCGCAGCCTGCAGTAGCTACAACATGGTGATTCGAGAAGATAACAACACCAACAGGCTGAGAGAGTCCCTTGATCTTTTTGAAAGCATCTGGAACAACAGGTGACAAAAATAACAAATTCAGTCTCATCACTGGATTGCAAATTTTCTTTTGTTAAAAATATGCTTAGGCCAGGCGTTGAGGCTCATGCCTGTGATCTCAACACTGGGAGGCCGAGGCAGATGTGTCTCTACAAAAAATACAAAAAAAAAAATACAAAGATTAGCCAGGCATGGTGGTGCACACCTGTAGTCCCAGCTACTCAGGAGCTTGAGGTAGGAGGATCGGTTGAGCCCAGGAGGTGAGGGTTGCAGTGAACTGAGATCACACTACTGCACTCCTGCCTGGGCAACACAGCAAGACCCTGTCTCAAAACACACACACCTACACCCACACCCGCCCCACACACACTCTTTACTGATAAATCCAGAACTGTATGAAATATCTCTTTTTAGTTCATCTATTGTATAGACATACTAAAAATGTGGAGTATTCTTTTTTCATTTTATTTTATTTTATTGTATTGTATTTGGAGATAGAGTCTCGCTCTGTTGCCCAGGCTGGAGTGCAGTGGCGCGATCTCGGCCCACTGCAAGCTCCGCCTCCTGGGTTCATGCCATTCTCCTGCCTCAGCCTCCCGAGTTGCTGGGACTACAGGCGCCACCATCACGCCCGGATAATTTTTTGTATTTTTAGTAGAGACGGGGTTTCACCGTGTTAGCCAGGATGGTCTCAATCTCCTGACCTCGTGATCCACCCACCTCAGCCTCCCAAAGTGCTGGGATTACAGGTGTGAGCCACTGCGCCCGGCCAATGTGGAGTATTCTTTGATGAAGTTCTGATAGTGCTTTGTCAAGAAAATTTAAATCTCTGTTTTGAAAGCCTAAGATTACATTCAGCCTTCCATATCTTCAGGTTCCATATCTGCAGATTCAACCAACCACAGATTGAAAATATTCAAAAATAAATTTAAGATAGCAATACAACAACAAAAAATAATACAAGATTACAGTGGCTTACACCTGTAATCCCAGCACTTTGGGAGGCTGAGACAGGGGAATTGCTTGAGCTCAGGAGCTGGAGACCAGCCTGGCCAACATGTTGAAACCCCGTCTCTACAAAAAATACAAAAATTCATCAGGCGTGGCGGGGCACACTTGTAGTCCCAGCTACTTGGGAAGCTGAGGCAGGAGGATCACTTGAGCCCAGGAGGCGGAGGTTACAGTGAGCTGAGATCATATCACTGCACTTCAGTCTGGGCAACAGAGGGAGACTCTGTCTCAAAAAAATTAATTAATTAATTAAAAAATTGAGCAAGGAAAAAAATTGGACTAACAAATAATAATACAAATAAGCAATACAGTATAACAAGTACTCGCCAGCTTTTACATTGTGATAGGTATGATAGGTAACGTGGAGATGATTTAAGCACATGGGAGGTTGTGCATGGGTTATATGCAAATACTACACCATTTCACACAAGGGAGCCTCCTCAGATTTTGGTTTTCACAGGGAGTCATAGACCAATCTCCCACGGGTATCAAAGGACGATTCTATATCTAGGGTTTGAAATAGGTTTTGTTTGGTTTTTAAAATTTAGGAAGTACCAGTTTAGGGGCCAGGAACAGTGGCTCACGCCTGTAATCCCAGCACTTTGGGAGGCCAAGGCAGGAGGATCACCTGAGATCAGGAGATCGAGACCAACCTGACGAAAATGGCGAAACCCCGTCTCTACTGAAAATACAAAAATTAGCCAGGCGTGGTGGTGGGCGCCTGTAGTCCCAGCTACTCAGGAGGCTGAGGCATGAGAATCACTTGAACCCGGGAGGTGGAGGTTGTGGTGAGCTGAGATTGCACCACTGCACTCCAGCCTGGGCAACAGAGTGAGACTCCATCTCAAAAAATAAAACAAAAAATTTTTACATTTAAAAATAAATAAAGTACCAGTTTAGGACATCCACTAATAACTAGATGATCTATAAGATCCCTTACAGCTCACAATCACCACATAATTATGTTTGAAACTACTAGCATTGCAAAGTGGCATAAGTGATTATTTCAGAAAGGAATATTTAGTGCACACACACACACAATACATACATACATAGTTAGAAATCAAAGTTTCTTCTGAAGTATTTAGGAAGAAATATTACCAAGGAGGACAGGAAACGTAAGTTTACCTTGTAAAGTTTTGGATTCTCAGAAAAATAATTTTCTATGAAATGTTCAACAACCAGCCTCAAATTTGTGGTAATAAGACAGTTAATAGAAAAGAAACAGGGTCAGGAAATACCAGGTATACAGAAGAATACTGTAGAGTTATTATAAATTTATTTATATACACTATATGTGTAAGTGGGAAAATGACCATAGTCTTATAGGAAAAAACAGATTTTAAAATACTGTGATCTTGTTTTTATAAGTATGTGTGAGGACAGAAAAAAACTTCAGCATAAAAACATAAAACTTCTATAGTAATTGTTTCTCTGGGTATAATTACATTTGATTTTTTTCTTTATGTTTTTCTATAATTTAAGGTTTGTTTTTACAAAGGTTATATATTTTATTACTAGAAGCAGCAGGTAAGCTATTTCCATTTGAGGGGAAAGTGGATTGTGTGTGGGGTTTTTATTTTTATTTTTATTTTTTGAGATGGAGTCTCACTTTGTTCCCTAGGCTGGAATGCAGTGGCGCAATCTCGGCTCACCACAAGCTCCACCTCCCAGGTTCAAGCGATTCTCCTGCGTCAGCCTCCGGAGTAGCTGGGACTGCAGGTGTTTGCCACCACACCCAGCTAATTTTTGTATTTTTAGTAGAGACAGGGTTTCACCGTGTTGGTCAGGCTGGTCTCGAACTCCTGACCTCGTGATCTGCCCGCCTCTGCCCACCAAAGTGCTGGGATTACAGGCGTGAACCACCACACTTGGCCAGATTGTGTTATTAATTGGTAGTAAGATTCCTGTAGACTAATTTGTTATTAATTGGTAGTAAGATTCCTGTAGTCTAATCAGTTAGCTTGATTCCTTTGAAGTGATGGAGGCGGAAGAAGAACCAAGCCAGCTGCACTTTAAGCTCTGTGTTATTAGCTAATGAGTCATATATTATTCTGTTGTTGTTAACATTTTCACTTCTAATGTGAGTTTTCCCACCTTTTATTGGTAAATGACATCATAGAAATCCAAGTGAACTCATTACATAAGTAAATCTTAGCTTTGGTTCCAATAAATTTATATTCCCTATGGGACTGAATTAGAAAGTGCTTAACTATGGATTGAGTATCCCTTATCCAAAATGCTTGGGACCAAAAGTGTTTCAGATTTCTGGTGGTGGTGGTGGTGTTTTGGAATAGTTGCATTATACTTACTAGTCCAGCATCCCTAATATGAAAATCCAAAGTGTGAAGTGCTCCAACAAGCATTTCCTTTGAGCATCATGTCAGTGCTGAAAAAGTGTTAGATTTTGAAGTATTTCGGATTTTGTGTTTTTGGATGAGGGCTGCTCAGCCTGTACCTGTATTTGTTGATCATTATTTACAGATGGAATGAGGATACTGGTGTCCTGAAGTTTCTTGAATCCTATACAATTTTAGGAGAATGATGGTATTCTTTATAATTTAGCAACTTCTTGTTAGAGGTGCTTTCATATACTAGTGTATGTGAACTGTGTTTATTTTTCCTTTTTCAGGTGGTTACGGACCATTTCTATCATCTTGTTCTTGAACAAACAAGATATGCTGGCAGAAAAAGTCTTGGCAGGGAAATCAAAAATTGAAGACTATTTCCCAGAATATGCAAATTATACTGTTCCTGAAGACGGTAAGATTTCAAAACACATTCTTATGATTGAGGAATAGAATTGTTTTATTAATAGTCCTGTAACTCTAATTCACATACTTCTGATGAATCTAAGAAATTCACTTGATTTAAAACAATTCTGTTTCTACTGCCCATATCCTAAAGTACTGGCGTGTTCAAATGTCCTATTTAGGATCCTGTTTGTAAAGTTTCCGAGTTTGACTTTCCATTGAAACTGTGCCGCCGAAGAGAGCGCCGTTTGGGGTGTGATGTGTCATGCTGCTGTGAGCCCTCCCTCTAGAGCCTTTGACGGGGTTGGACGTGACAGGGGCCTTGTTAGTCCTTGATACAGACCTTCTCACTTCACCCTCCAATGACCCCGCGGGGTAGTTTCTATTCTTCTCTCCCGTGGAAAGAGTCTGAGACAGAAGAGAGAATGTGTTCAAAGCCACACGGGTAGACTCATGCGGGCAAGGCAGTCCTTGCACCCTTTGTCCCCAAGCCCGGGCTGGCAGCAGCCACGCTTACCTGCTCCTATCTCTAGCCTTGCTGTGGCTGCAGCCTTGGGGATTTCCGGCAGGGCCAGCAGCCACCCCAGGCTGCCTGAGACTGAGGGGTTTCCGGGGCACGGGACTGTCAGTGCTAAAGCTGGGAAGGTAGACCAGGAGGAGATGGTCACTCCGTTTCCAGTCGCTGACACTTCAGTTTCCAGTGAACACCAGGTCTACCAGAGGCCCACAGGAGTGATTTAAGGTGAGATAGCACTGCTTCCTACATCTTGAATTCCAAACTAGAAAACGCAGAATAAAAGAGACTTTCCTGGAAAATATAGTTAAGATTTGGAAAATTTACTTTTTATCCTCAATGAAGAAGGAAAAGAAAACTTGCATTTGTCATTAAACTTTCTTGCTCCTTATGTTCAATGTTCTTTTCTCCTTCATGGGAGAGGCATTATACAAGTATATTCATAGTAAAATCCTGACCCGTGTGGGGCATTCCAACAAAATCCTGCTGCCATCACCTGAGTCAGAAAGACCTGAAAAAAAATCCTACTGCTACATATTTCCTTATAGAAATAAGGCCGGGCGCGGTGGCTCAAGCTTGTAATCCCAGCACTGTGGGAGGCCGAGACGGGCGGATCACGAGGTCAGGAGATCGAGACCATCCTGGCTAACACTGTGAAACCCCGTCTCTACTAAAAAATATAAAAAACTAGCCGGGCGAGGTGGCGGCGCCTGTAGTCCCAGCTACTCAGGAGGCTGAGGCAGGAGAATGGTGTGAACCCGGGAGGCAGAGCTTGCAGTGAGCTGAGATCCGGCCACTGCACTCCAGCCTGGGTGACAGAGTGAGACTCCGTCTCAAAAAAAAAAAAAACTAGCCGGTCATGATGATGGGTGCCTGTAATCCCAGCTACTGGGGAGGATGAGGTGGGAGAATCGCTTGAAACTGGGAGGTGGAGGTTGCAGTGAGCCAAGATCACACCACTGGGCAAGAGAATGAGACTCCGTCTCCAAAAAAAAAAGAAAGAAAACAAAAGTATGTGTTTGTTTTTTGTCTAGCTATACATGTATTTTAATGCTGTGAATATACAGCAGTCCAACGTTGAAATTCCTTCTTTGTTTTCAGAGTTGTATCTTTGTTTCATGTTGCTTAAGTAAAGTTGCATTTATCATTTCTACAGCAACACCAGATGCAGGAGAAGATCCCAAAGTTACGAGAGCCAAGTTCTTTATCCGGGACCTGTTTTTGGTAAGCCATTTTGTTAAGCTTTGTTTTTTTACCTCCATTCTTAATCTTTTGTTTCTTGCAGTATGCAGATTACTTACTCTTTGATTTAATCTTCCTTAACGTTATGAGAGATGAGAAAGAGTATGTTACTTGCATTTCACAGCTGAGCACACCAAGGTTCAGAGAGGTTAGATTTCTCACCCAAGGTCACACAGCTTCCAACCAGCAGAGCCCGGGTGAGAACACAGCGTCCCGGGGAATGGCACTTGGATGGGCTATACTTCATTCACTTCTTGTATTTTCCAAAAAGGACAGCGTCCTTCAGCAAAGTCCAAGCACCCATGCTCTTCCTCCACCCAAAAGCACTAACAGGCTGATGGTTTATGTAAAAACAGGTGTGCACAAATTCAGGTACTTTTTCTTCAGCTTTTTGAGATTTTGAGATTATTTTTTAGATATATTTGAGATTATATTTGGGATAATTTTGAGATTATTTCAAACTTACATATGAGGTGGAAGATTTGTACAAATAACTCCCATATACTCAGGCCAGGCGCCGTGGCTCACACCTGTAATCCCAGCACTTGGGAGGCCGAGGCAGGTAGATCACTTGAGGTCAGGAGTTTGAGACCAGCCTGGCCAACATGGTGAAACCCCGTCTCTACTAAAAATGCAAAAAATTAGCTGGGTACACTGGCACGCGCCTGTAATCCCAGCTACTCTGGAGGCTGAGGCAGAAGAATTGCCTAAAGCTAGGAGGCAGAGGTTGCAGTGAGCCGAGATCACACCACTGCACTCCAGCCTGGCCGACAGAGCGAGACCGTCTCAAACAAAACAAACAAAAAAAACTCCCATATACTCTTTACCCAAACTGACCAACTGGCAAAAATTTGCCACATATGCTTTATCTATATTATTTTCTTTGAAATAACCTACAGTGTATAGCTAGCTGTGAGTTTTTACTCGCTTCAAACTATTACATGCCAAGGCATTCCCAAGAGCATGTTCCCGGTAGTAGTCCAGGCGCACTTAACACGTGTGGACAAGGTCTCAGCCCCAGGAGCACTAGGGCTGATCCTCGGCCGTGAGGCCTTTCCTCGGGGACCAGCACTCCAGCCGGGCCTTTCACCGCCCTTTTCCCAGCCACCCCTGTGGGATGACTCCTGAATCCTACAGTGAGTTAGAAAGTAACAATGAAGAGAAATCAAGGCCCCAGGGTGAGTTCAGAGGACAAGAGTTCCCCCAGAAGTGCATGGCCGTAAGTGCATGGCAGCACAGGAAGAGCTTGTGCAGCTGAATAAATCTGGGATGTGCTGTGTTAAATACAGCGAGAGAGGCTCCTCTGCCTCTCTGAGAGTGTCAGATTCTCAGAGCCTTTACTTAAGGCCAATTAATGTGCATTGCAAATCTCTTCAATAAGGGAATTTAGTTTGTAATAGATCAAGGGATCCCTTAATTTCAAGGAGCATTTTGTAAGACCATAACATACAAAGACACAAAAAAATGGTTTTCTAATGAGAACTAAATGTTAATTAAGCATGCATATGTTGGGCATTTAAATGAAGATTAGAAACATCCAGGTGGGATGCAGTTGCTCATGCATGTAATCCCAACACTTTGGGAGGCCAAGGCAGGTGGATCACCTGAGGCCAGAGGTTCGAGATCAGCTAGACAACATATCAAGACCTCGTGTCTACAGAAAATTTTAAAACGTACCTGGGTATGGTGGCACAGGCACGTAGTCCCAGCTACTCAGGAGGCTGAGGTGGGAGGATTCCTTGAGCCCAGGAATTTGAGGTGGCAGTGAGCGATGATTGTGCCACTGCACCCCAGCCTAGGTGACCCCAGCCTGGGTGACAGAGCAACACTCCATCTCAAAACAAAAACGAAACTATTTGAAGCAACGCCCTTTGCAATGACTCCATTCCCTTAATTTTAAGGCTCTAGACAGGGACAAATAGTCACATTATTACAGAAGAAAGCCTTTTTTGGTTTGTTTATTTGGGACATTGCCTCGCAGTGTCACCCAGGCTGCCTGGAGTGCAGTGGCAAGATCATAGCTCACTGCAGCCTCCAACTCCTGGGCTCAAGCAGCCCTCGTGCCTCAGCCTCCAGAGTAGCTGGGACTACAGGCACACACCACCACACCTGGTTTTTTTTTTTTTGAGACAGAGTCTCGCTCTGTTGCCCAGGCTGGAGTGCAGTGGCCGGATCTCAGCTCACTGCAAGCTCCGCCTCCCGGGTTCACGCCATTCTCCTGCCTCAACCTCCCGAGTAGCTGGGACTACAGGCGCCCGCCACCTCGCCTGGCTAGTTTTTTGTATTTTTTAGTAGAGACAGGGTTTCACTGTTAGCCAGGATGGTCTCGATCTCCTGACCTCGTGATCCGCCCGTCTCGGCCTCCCAAAGTGCTGGGATTACAGGATTGAGCCACCGCGCCCAGCCTACTTTTTACATTTTATAGAGATAGAGCCTTGCTATGTTGGCCAGGCTGGTCTCGAACTCCTCACCTCAAGTGATCCTCCTGCCTCCACCTCCCAAAGTGCTGGGATTACAGGTGTGAGCCACTGCACCCAGCCAAAAGCCTATTTTTCATTCATTCACTACACACTTACTGTGTGTGTGTCAAACACCTCCCCTGGTGCTTTGGGATTAAAAAGATATATAACCTACTCATTTCAGTGTCCATAAGTTTTTTTTTTTAAATGCTCAAGGGAAGCCTGACTATTGCTAAAGTAAGTCTGTCCCCCTGTGAGGAGTTTCATACCTCAGGACATCTTCAGGACACCCTTTCTGTGGTCTAAGCAGCTGTCTAAAGCCTGTTTCCCGGGATGCCTTGTCGAAAAAGGAGGAGTGGAGGGGATGAGGAGGCGGCCCAGGGATTCCCGTGGCACCAAGGAAGAAGGCTAGCTTCCACAGGACCTCTAAGTCTGCCTGGGCTGCCATAACAAAGTGCCACAGAGGCTGAGTGTCAAACAGCAGAAATGTATTTCTCACAGCTCTGGAGGCTAGACGTCCGAAAGCAAGGTGTAGGCAGGGCTGGTCCCTTCAGAGGCCCCTCCCTTGGCTTGCGGCCGCCTTCTCCCTGTGTCTCACAGCGTCTTCCCTCTGCACATGGCTGCATCCTCCTGGTTTCCTCTTCTCTCTAGGACACCAGTCATACTGCATTAGGGCCCACCCTATGACCTCATTTTACCGTAATTGCCTCTGTAAAGGCCTTATCTCCAAATATAGTCACATCTGAAGTGCCGGGGGTCAGGGATTCCACATAACTTCGGGGAACACAGTTCGGCCTGTAACAGCCTGTCCCCACACCCACAGCACTTAGCTTCACAGTGCACATGAGCACATCACTGAGGTGTCCCCACAAACCATGACTCGTAGTGTCTAACCCTGTTTCCCAGGTACTTGATAACAGATCACTTTTCTCCCAGAAGGCAGCAAACGCTCCCCTGATAACCAGGGGACACCCTGCGTAGCAGATGCTAAACTGCCCCTGTGTGGAGGCGGCCACAGGGCTGCTGCACTTTCCAATACAGAACCACGGGGCACAATATGGACATTTAATTAAAACTAGCTGGCAGAGCGTCGTGGCTTACACCTGTAATCCCAGCACTTTGGGAGGCCAAGGCGGGCGGGTCATGAGGTCAGGAGTTCCAGACCAGTCTGACCAACATGGTGAAACCCCATCTCTACTAAAAATACAAAAATTGGCCAGGTGTGGTGGCACACACCTGTAATCTCAGCTACTCAGGAGGCTGAGGCAGGAGAATCGCTTGAATCCAGGAGGTAGAGGTTGCAGTGAGCCAAGATGCCGCCACTGCACTCCAGCCTGGGAGAGAGAGCAAGACTCCATCTCAAACAAACAAAAAAACAAACAAACTAGCTAATTAAGCTGGGCACAGTGGCTCATGCCTGTAATCCCAGCACTTTGGGAGGCCGAGGCAGGCAGATCACTTGAGGTCAGGAGTTTGAGACCAGCCTGGCCAACATGGTGACACCCCGTCTCTACTAAAAATACAAAAATTAGCCGGGCGTGGGCATGGTGATGGATGCCTGGAATCCCAGCCACTCAGGAGGCTGAGGCAGGGGAATCCCTTGAACCTGGGAGGCGGAGGTTGCAGTGAGCCAAGACTGCACTACTGTGCTCCAGCCTGGGCAACAGAGCTAGACTCAGTCTCAAAAATATATAAATAAATAAAATAAAATTAGCTAATTAGAAATCAGCCCCTCGGTGGTATCAGATCATGACTATCAACTACATAGTGACTAGATAGGGCAGATAGAGGACATTCCCATTGTCGCAGAAAACTGTTCAGACCTTCCTTTCTGGAAGCTCCTCCCTTGACTTGCCTGCCTGGGGCTTTCTCTGACCTATCCATGCTGCTTCAGCCTCCTGGGGGCAGTGATAAGGGTAAGGTTATCTGGGTCCTCATCTGATGCATGCATTGAGACCGTTCCTGCCTCTAAGTGCTCCCATGCGAAACAAGCAGGCCACCATCACCAAAGCCTCCGGCACCTGCTCAGTGTGGCCTAGTCCTTCCCCAAGGTGCATGCTGGGGCCGCGCAGGGCTAGTGCACACGCTCTCTCTTGCAGAGGATCAGCACGGCCACCGGCGAAGGCAAACATTACTGCTACCCGCACTTCACCTGCGCCGTGGACACAGAGAACATCCGCAGGGTGTTCAACGACTGCCGCGACATCATCCAGCGGATGCACCTCAAGCAGTACGAGCTCTTGTGAGGGCTGCTGCTGCCACCCCGCGATGGAGCGGCGCCCCAGACCGCTTGACTGCCAGCCCCGTGCCATGGTAGGAGGCAGGGTCTCTAGTTCCATCTCGCTGCCGTCTGTCCCGTTCTGTGTCGACCACCAAGCCTCTGGCTACCTCTGTCCCCTCAGGTTTGGTTGTGTAGCTTCTGTTGTCATTGAATACAACCTTCCGCAGCATCCCACCCCCAAACCACCGACTCTCATTGCTGACACTGCAGCAGAATCTCTCCAGGTGGGAGCCCCTTTATTCATTCTCCCTTTATTGATTCATCAAGGAGAACTTGGTAGATGGGGAGAAAACGCAGTTTGCTTTTTTTCCCACGTTGTCAAGCGTGACCGCAAGAGTGTACGTGCAGTGCCCTGAGCCGCGGCCCTCTCTGATTTTCCCTTTATGAAGCTGCAGGTTGACGAGCGATGGTCCCTTCCCATCGGCCTTAGCCCCAGACTTAGAGTCGACCCCCAAGCGACAGAGTGACCAGAAACCCTTTTACAGTCACATTCAGAGTCGCTGCTGGCCTCAGGCATTTGAATTAGAGCTACTTTGAGCCTCTTACATTTAGGCAGAAAACCTACCACATTCACTATTGCAAAATGTGTCTTGTGTAAAAATGATTCTCTAAACTTTCACTATACTTAGGCATAGTCTTCTTTCTCAGATTCTCTTTGTTGTTGTCCCTATTGCTGGTTTATTACACTGTACAGACCACAAAATGTAATATTCTTTTGTATAACTACTAAAGAAAAATCCTTGTAGATCTTTGTGCCTTCACCATGGCTATCTACACCTGTACGTGAAATGTGTTTGTATCGTGCTGAAGAGCTTAATGTCGACGTTACCTGCTGCTTACTCTGAAAAAAGGAATGAATGGTAGCTGTAGAATTTAGGATACTTCATAAGGTTGGCACTTTATAAAATACTCCCTGATTTTAAAAATTGTAAGTTATACACATTAATCATCCACATTCTACCAACAGTGTCGTACCAACATCACAAACTGTTGCAACCACCTGCTCGCTCTTGTCTGAGCTGTAAAAACCTGAACTCAATTCAGGGGTACAAATTGCAATCTAATCTTTTCAGGGTACCAGGAACTTTTTTCTCTCTCTCTAGACAATATATTTCCTAATTAGTCTGCTAATGAAACACTCCTTCAAGTTCCCTAGGTGGGAACAGGTTCATCATTCCCTTAGTCAAAACTTTGGACACAGGCTACATCATGCAAGTAAGCAAACAGTAAGAGAAAAACAAAACGTGACATGTCAATGTTTGTGTCTGGCCTAGGAGAATAAGGATGACAGCTTCACTTGCCTTTTGAAGACGAAACATTACAAAACCTTAATCTGAAGTATAAAGTCAAAAGATACGGCTCTTTCTCACACTCGCAAGATTTACAAATACAGCCTCAAACATGACACACGAACAGTATCTAGAAAGTAAGAACTGTTGTAGCAATGACACTTCATGTTCTATCTGCAGCCACAGGGTTGAGGGTAGTTTTCATAGGTCTAAAATAATCTGTAAAGATGTCCAAAGTTAAATTTTCAACAATACAAATCTAGAGAAGTGACAGCCTATTACTTCATTACTCCTTTTAGTCTTTAGTCTGTAATATTTTAAAGTTTACTCTATAAATCAGCATTTTGTAATCCTTTATAAACTCATCCAGATTTAAATGCTACTTTTTCATGAAGAAAGGATGACAGCTTTATAGACAGTCAGTGCAACACACACATATTTTATCTCATCACCGCCTTCCTGCCCTTCCCATCCACTGTCTCATAAAACCCTCAGTTGAACTAAGATAAATACAGTAGAAATTATTTTCAGTTCACCTTGCACTGTCAAAGTAAAACAAGCAAACTGAAAAGCTACACCCCCAGCAAGAAAGGGAAGTATGTCGTTGTATGCATCATCTCTCAACAATTACCCTCTAACTAAACATCCTGTTTAAGAGTTTAATTCAAACAAGAGCCAGACTGTTAAGAAAAAAAACAAAAAGAATAACTTTTATCTGGCTTACAATTATTAAAGCATTTATTTTCAGGTACCAAAAGCCGTATCCCATTCTACTTTTCAAGTTTCTTTTGATCACTGACAGGCATTATCAGATGTAACAACTTGGTCTCCTATAGAGAAAATTACACTTATTTAAAAATCTGATTCCATTAATTGATCAAGTATAAAAATCTATGAAAACAATATGTTCTGCATATCACATCTGTACCTTTTTTTTTAAATTTTTTTTTGAGATGGAGTCTCGCTTTGCTGCCCAGGCTGGAGTGTCATGGCGCGATCGCAGCTCACTGCAACCTCCGCCTCCCGGGTTCAAGGGATTCTCCTGCCTCAGCCTCCCAAGTAGCTGGGATTACAGGCGTATGCCACCACGCTAGGCTAATTTTTATATTTCTAGTGGAGAAGGGGTTTCACCATGTTGGCCAGGCTGGTCTTGAACTCCTGACCTCAAGTGATCCACCTGCCTCAGCTTCCCAAACTCCTGGATTACAGGTGTGAGCCGCCGCACCCGGCCACATCTGTACTTTCAAGGGTACGGCTTTACGGTACATATGAATTCGAGAACCACTTCACAGGAGGGAAACAGCCCAGTATTTACGTATACACATAATCCCAAGTGTGTGCTGGGGCCACCAGGCCCTTCCTGGGGGAACAAGGACTGTCGTGCATGTGAGTGACGATATTAATAGCATTTAATACTGTACAGATGCAACCTTCGATGATACATATATTTGATAAAAATGAGAAAACAGATTTGTTGTAGAGTACCTGTCCACTTTGCTAGCATGAGAACAGTACAATCAACTATTTATTTTGCAGTTACTCGTGTCAGTGATTGAGAATTTCTGTGATGTGCAGAGAGACGGCCTGTAATTGGTCTCATCATCTACTTGATTCTAACATGATCTCTGCCCAAAGTTCCATTTCTTGGGCTTTGATATTTACAATGGCGCCTGCTCTTCATCTTGTCTTACGCTTTCTGAGCAAGTTCAAACCAGAAAGAAAAGGTGAGGCTAAAAGCCCCAAGTGAGAGAGTGTAAGGACCACAAGGAAGCCCACCGCTCCACAGTAGATGACCAAAACCACGTCCTCACGTGGGAGGTAGCACTTGGAGAGGGCGTAGTCTGTGGGCGTGATGCTGCCCTGGAAAGGAAAAGGGAAAGTTAAGGTGACAGCACCCGGCACAGGTTGAACACCACAGTCTTAGAAACAGCAGAGGGAAACTGCCTTCTCAGGTCCCCCTCAGGTGAGCAGGGAAGGGGCCTTCCTCACCTGAGAACAAGGGAGCCTGGCCTTTGTCCTGCACCGGGCTCTTCCCCCAGAGCCCGACCAGCCCAGGCTCTGGCAGGAGAGACAAGTAAGGCCCAAATGTGCCTGGGTGGAAAATGTCTGGGACACTGACCTGTCAAAACTGGCCCCTGGCCCACTGGGTTCCCATCAAATATAATGGGAGATCCGTAACAGAGATTCGGAGAGGTACATGGAGTTCCAGGGTCATTGGTCAGCAAGGAACAAGGAGGGAACGGTGTCTTCCTGCCCCTTGATGCTCAACTAAGCATCTGTTCCCTAGAAGTACATGTGTCCAGGTCGTCTCCGTGGGCTTCTCTGCAGATACGTTTATGTGGAATGACAGTGGCAAATGTTTTCATTTACTTGAATTTGAAAATGTTACGGTTTCCCCCACCTTTTAAGAAGGAAAAGAACCTGTCATACCAGCATCATGAGCTGGATGTAGGAGCCCATGGCTGAAAGGCGTTAAAACGCCCAGTGGTCATTCAGTGAAACACCTTTTATCAACCTGCAAAGGCTGTAGCGTTCTCTGCCAGGTCAAAGGGCATGTTTTGAAAATAAGAGAAGATGGCTGAGTATAGCTAATGAATAAATGGTTGTTTCTTTAGAAAAGTAAACACACACAGAGTGTAAGAGGAGACGACGTGGCCCTCCCTGAAGGATCAAGTCCACCTGGACAGTGCCCTGCCCTCACTTCCCACACAAACCGCCCAGGAATGTCAGGCTGATTGGTTCCCAGAAGCGTATTTGGCAAGAGGCAGTGCATGGAACTACGTGTAGAGGGAGGGACATTTGTGTGTGACTTTTGTAAATTTTTACAGATTGCAGCAATTAAATAGTTGATTACTGTGTTGATTTAAATACTTATGGAAAGCTTTCAGACAAAAATAAACTTTCACATTACCATGATGAAACTGGGGTTGTTTCTGTTCCTCCAACTGAAAGACGGGACGCTGAGCTCGGGGACTCGGCCCCCGTGGTGCACCTCGCAGGCGCTGTGCGTGTGGCCACTGAGAACCAGGCGCGGCTGGAGCCACCACAGCAGCTGACAGCGGCCGAGAAGACAGCAAAGCAGGCTGTTAGCTCACCCTCAACCAGGCTCTCACCGCTCAGCAGACAGCCGCTGGCCATCGCTTCTTTCATTAAATTAAATACTAAATCCTTATTTTGAAGGACTGGTTTTTTTCCGTAAAAATCCTTTGGTTTATTTATACTAAATCAAAGGTAAGGTCAGCCCCTTTGAGTCTACCATTCTCATTCTAGATTTTATCTACTTTTTGTGCTTTTTTATCTTTATAAATATTTTATACATTTATCTTATAAACATTTCCTATATTTATATATTATAATGTAATATATAAATCTATATAAGAAAATGCATTTTAATTTTAATTAAGTCCCTAAAAATTTTACTCTTAAGTTCCATTCACATTTCTAAACACATTCAAGTTGGTGAAAAACTCTGAATACAAACAATAGCTGAGACTATTATTGACTTCAGCATAGGAAACAGAAGTAGGTTTACTGGAGAAAAAAAAAAAAAAAAAAAAAAAGAAAGCAATGAAATGATGGTGCTGTGAAAGCCAGGCCTCCACCCCTGTCCCCAGGTGATAACTAAGTCATCAGCGTTTCAGCAAACACCTGCTCTAGCCTGGGTGCTCTGCTTGCTGACATGCAAGGTGATGAGAGTCACACTGCGACATGAATTGGCATCGTGACACCCTGGCAAACCTTTTGTGATGCCTCCCGTGAAAGCACGTCATAGTTCTCCTTAAATGGGATGTCCCTTTCCTCTGGAGGAGCAGCATCTTCCCCAGAACAGTTAGCATCACTTCTCCGATACAGAGGATAATGCTGTCCGGGGTGGAGAGAGGAGTTCAGGCAGCTGTCGTGAAACTGCGGGCTGCCTGCTGTCCGCCATGAGCCCCTTCCTCCCTCCCCCAGCTCACCTGCAGAAGGACGGGGGCAGACGCGGGCAGCAGAAGCCCAGGTCCACACCGGCGGGAGCCACGTGCCTGCTGGGTACAAGTCAGGCCATTAATCCGCACACCTGACCCTCATCAAAGGGCAAGAAGAGCTGGGGGGCTGAGTAACAAAAGCACAGCGACACGGGCCAGAAGTCGCCTGTGGCATTGAGATGCTCTCCTACCTCTCGGGAGCAGTTCAGTCTGTGAGAAACTTCAATGAGCTCTGCTTCTGCTTCAGAGCAGATGCCACAGCCGTCCCCGTTCAGCGCCACGCTGTTGACCATCACGAAGCTGAGGCAGAGGGACACAGGCAGGTGAGGCCGCTGGGGGTACCAGTGCTTTCTTTTCCCCACTGTTCCCATGAAAAGAAAGCGAAGCATCCAGTGCAAAGAAACAAGCCCAGAGCAGTTTTCAATACCACCCAGAATAATTTGGTGTGCTTTTAAGTCAATATTAACAAAAACACCATGACTGGGAGTTCAGTCTAAGACATGATCGAAGCGTTTCTGACCCTAAACTTGTGAAAAATCCCAGATCACAGAAGCTCTGCAGTTAGATTACGTCTAAGCTCATCCTCTAACCAGAACCTCATCTGTTACAGTGCCTCCCTCGTCTGTGCAGAGGGCTAAGAACCCCTCTGCCCACCCCATCAGCTGGTTGTGAGGATTCAATGACATGACATGGCAGGTGTTTAGAACACAGCCTGCCACTAGGAAGTACTCAGTACTTGTCAGATATTGTGACCAACAGGTAGAGGGAACCATAGGGTGCATGAGTGACATACAGACACACACAGCAAGTAAAGCAGAGGGTAGGGTGCTGGTTAGAGCTAACTGGGTATGGATAATCCCAAACTACAGTAATAACAGAGTCCATTATGGTTAGACTCAGCAGCCACATTTTTTTCTAGACTCCCACTAAATACGCTTTTATTTCCTGCACACACACCATCTTGGAATGACGAAAGTCCCAGTCAGTAAAGACTGCTTGAAATTTAACTCGTCTTAGAGATAAGGAGCGGAGTTACCAAGTGATCAGCAGTATGATGAGCTGTTAAAAGTGTCTTAAACACACACTTAGAGGGAACTAATTCTCACTGTATCATGTTTCTGTTATGAGTCAGCAGAGGAAGCCGCCTACTAGAGAGAGACTCTGCCCTCCTGGCAGAGGGAGGGAAAGGTGAGCACTGGAGGGAGGGAAAGGCGAGCACTGGCGGTGAAGCCACGGGACCAAAATGACCTCACCTGCAGACCTGCTGTGTCCAAGGTCAACAGAGTGCTCGGCACCCACAGGAAGGTCAGGATTAAAAGAGAAAAGGCGGCCGGGCGCGGTGGCTCACGCCTGTAATCCCAGCACTTTGGGAGGCCGAGGCGGGCGGATCACAAGGTCAGGAGATCGAGACCGTGGTGAAACCCCGTCTCTACTAAAAAATAGAAAAAAATTAGCCGGGCGCAGTGGCGGGCGCCTGTAGTCCCAGCTACTGGGGAGGCTGAGGTAGGAGAATGGCGTGAACCCGGGAGGCGGAGCTTGCAGTGAGCCGAGATTGCGCCACTGCACTCCAGCCTGGGCGACAGAGCGAGACTCCGTCTCAAAAAAAAAAAAATAATAAATAAAAATAAAAGAGAAAAGGCTTCCACTCCCACCTGTTTTCTCTCCACCGCGTCTATCATCAGGAGAGAGTATACAGTCCTGCCCACTGTGCTGCAGCCGCATACACAGCCCAGAAAAGATCTAGAGATGGGCACTGAGGTGGCCTCGCAGAGCGGGAGCTGCTCATGGTCAGGCTAAGGGTCAGGGTGCTCGGGTCTAAAAGCCCAGGCAGATGGAGATGGGTAGCACAGAGCTACAGAGGCACTGTGACACACTTGCCACCAAATCCCATGACACCATAACTACGGGAACAGTCTTTGTAAAGGGAAATTAGTACATTTTGATCCAATAAAAAGACTCTTTTGACAAAGTGGGCTGATGAAATTTGCACCACCCAGAGACAGGGCAGACAGAAAGAGCATCACTCCCACAGTGGCTGGGCAGAGTCATAAACTGACCGCTTCACTGTGGAAAACCAGGAAAACCAGGATGGTTTGAGGTTTCCCATCTATCGGCTCCCATGGCGAGCACCAGCAAGGGCAGCCTGAGGCACTGCTGTTTAAAGCTCGTAAACCAGGCTACACAGAACACGGGCAGATGACAGATCCCAGTATGGCAGGCACCTTTAGAAAATGAAGTTTCCAAGGACTCAAGGTCTTGGAAGAATTTACAAATAATACTCACTTAATGCCTTTCCAAGAAAACAGTCTTTCAGAGCTGAACACTTTCTCGAAGCGTTCCACTTTGTATGTGTTCATCCTATATTCAAGTGTAAGAGGAAACATTTTTCAGGATAAGCCATTTTAGAAACTCCTAGAGGTATCACGAACACAAAGTAACTTTCAAGACTTGAGTTTCAGACTAGCATTATTAGTTAAGGGCCCCACCTGGCCCCAGGATATCAAAGCTCAATTTTTAGTTCCACTACTTAACTACGAAGCCTGGGGCAAGTTACTCAGCTGCCCAGGGCCTCATTCTGCATTGGCACCATATAGGTAAAACAACAGGACCGTGGTAAAGATTAATGTGTTCATATAGGGAAGTAAAGTGCTCGAAACAGATGGCACATTACAAGCACTAGAGCACTATATAAATGTTAGCTATTAGAGTCTAAATGATCTTGTTTTTTCATTCCCAAAGACAATGATTGGCCATTAAATGTACATTTCAAGTTAGATGTTTCCCAAGAGCACATACAATTCATTCATTCCACAGATATTTGTTGAGGGTGTACTATGCAGGAAAACAAATTTCAAGACAGCACTAATAGGGCTTTCACCAGAATTCCAACAGATTTAGAATTACAGTTAACAAGCGCTCTCAGGGTGCAGGGCTTCCGTGAACTACTTACTCATAATGGAAGCCAATGTCATGGTTTCCAGCAACTACCTTCAGCTGTACGTGACTCGGGTGTCTGAACATTTTCTGAAACCGCTCCACATCATCCGCCCAGGCCTGAGGGAAAAAGAAAAACCTCTGGGGGCCAGAGAACCATCCCTGCCCTGTGGCTAAAAAACATGATCCCTGTTTTGTTTGGTTTTGTTTTTGAGACCAGTCCAGCTCTGCCTCCAGGCTGAAGTGCAGTGATGTGATCTCTGCTCACCGCAGCTTCCATCTCCCGCATTCAAGTGATTCTCCCGCCTCAGCCTCCGGAGTAGCTGGGATTACAGACACACGCCACCATGCCTGGCTTTTTTTTTTTTTTTTTGTATTCTTAGTAGAGCCAGGTTTTCACCATGTTAGCCAGGATTGTCTTGATCTCCTGACCTCGTGATCCACCCGCCTCAGCCTCCCAAAGTGCTAGGATTACAGGTATGAGCCAATGCACCCAGCCAATGATCCCTATTTTGATGTGAGAAGTGAATGAATTCCCCTGTTTAAACCAGATGTCCATAAAGATGATGTAGAACTTTTTTTTTTTTTGAGATGGAGTCTTGCTCTGTCGCCCGCCACCACGCCCAACTAATTTTTTTGTATTTTTAGTAGAGACGGGGTTTCACCATGTTAGCCAGGATGGTCTCGATCTCCTGACCTCATCATCTGCCCGCCTTGGCCTCCCAAAGTGCTGGGATTACAGGCGTGAGCCACCGCACCTGGCCACAATATGTCTTTTTTAAGACTACAATTAATACTTACTGTTATGTAATTTGATGCCAAGTTTTTGTTTTATTTTGTTGTTTTTTTGAGACAGGGTCTCACTCTGTCACCCAGCATGGAGTACAGTGGCCATGATCTTGGCTCACTAGAACCTCCGCCTCCAGGGTTCAAGTGATCCTTGTGCCTCAGTCACCTGAGTAGCTGGGATTACAGGCGTCTGCCACCATGCCCAGCTAATTTTTATATTTTTAGTAGACACAAGGTTTCACCATGTTGGCCAGGCTGGTCTCGAACTCCTGACCTCAAGTGATCCATCTGCCTCAGTCTCCCAAAGTGCTAGGATTACAGGCATAAGCCACCAAGCCCAGCCTGATGCCAAATTTTTAAATGGTATCCTCTCCCATCTTAAAACAATAACTGGCAATTCCAAAAAATGTTTGGTTCATGCACCTATTATTTCAAGATCCCCTGAAGACCATTCATAGACCCTGGTGGAGAAATGCTTCAGATCTGGGCATGCTATAAGAACAGGCTCTTACAAAATGTCTAGTAAGTTCTTCATGTGTCCCAACCAAGACAAGATTGAGAACATCTTTAAAAGTGGCATTCCCGGCCAGGCACGGTGGCTCGCACTTGTAATCCCAACACTTTGGGAGGCTGAGGCGGGCGGATCACGAGGTCAGGAGATTGAGACCATCCTGGCTGACACAGTGAAACTCCATCTCTACTAAAAATACAAAAAACAGCCGGGCGTGGTGGCAGGAGCCTGTAGTCCCAGCTACAGGCAGGAGAATGGTGTGAACCCAGGAGGCAGAGCTTGCAGTGAGCCGAGATCGCGCCACTGCACTCCAGCCTGGACCGTAGAGTGAGGCTCTGTCTCAAAAAAAAAAAAAAAAAAAAAAAAAAAATGTGGCATTCCCCTATGGCTACAACTGTGGAAACGAAGTAATGAGATGTGGGAGAAAGAAAGACAAAAAATACTTACTGTAACATATATTTCAAAATTATTCTGATACTTGCTTTAACTATTAAAACTTCAGAGTTATGTTAGTGTAATTCTTATTTTTATAAAGCTAAAAATATCAATTGTACAAACACCCTAGGGTAGGGAAAAAAACAAAAAAAAATCCTCTATTCTAGATGGTAACCAACTTTACCCTAAACATTGTAAATCTGGCAAAACCTAAGGAAACATGCCGGATAGTGTCCTTGAATACATTTACAAAGATTCCACTTTAACAAATAACATTTAAAGTTAGATGGCTGGGCACGGTGGCTCACACCTCTACTCTCAGCACTTTGGGAGGCTGAAGCAGGCAGATCACTAGAGGTCAGGAGTTTGAGAGCAGCCTGGCCAACATGGTGAAACCTTGTCTCTACTAAACATACAAAAATTAGCTGTGTGTGGTGGCGGGCGCCTGTAGTCCCAGCTACTCGAGGAGGCTGAGGCAGGAGAATCACTTGAACCAGGGAGGCAGAGGTTGCGGTAAGCTGAGATCACGCCACACACTCCAGCCTTGGTGACAGAGCAAGACACCAGCTCAAAAAAATAATAAATAAATAAAGTTAGAGTAACATAAAATCAGAATAGCAGACATAGAAAAACATAAAATATTGCCCTTAATTTGGAAAAGCAACGTATCTATCCAACCTCATTTTGTAACTAGTTGTTTTTACATATAACATTTCCACTATCTCACACTGAATTACAGCCTAGAGGATAACAAACATTGCAACTCTGTAAACAGTGGTTCCTATCAACTTCGAAACAAGACTTCTCTTGCGTAGCTACTGAATTGTCCTAGGAAATACCAGTAAGGTTTTTTGGGTTTTTGTTGTGGGTTTTCTTGTTTTGTTTTTGGTTTGGTTGTTTATCTTCCTTGATTTTTATCTTTATTTTTTGAGACAGGGTCTCACTCTGTCACCCAGGCTGGAGTGCAGTGGTGCACAGCTGACTGTGGCCTCGACCTCCCAGGCTCAAGCGATCCTCCCACTTCAGCCTCCTGAGTAGCTGGGACTATAGGCGTGCACCACTATGCCTGGCTAATTTTTGTATTTTTTGTAGAAACAGGGTCTCACTAAGTTGCCTAGACTGGTTTTGAACTCCTGGGCTCAAACGATCCTCCTGCCTTAGACTAGGCCTGGCGTGGTGGCTCATGCCTATAATGCCAGCACTTTGGGAGGCCAAGGTGGGCACTGCCGGAGCTCAGGAGTTCGAGACCAGCCTAGGCAACATGGTGGTGAAACCCCATCTCTACTAAAATACAAAAAAAATTAGCCAGGCATGGTGGTGCGTGCCTGTAATCCCAGCCACTCGGGAGGCTGAGGGAGAATCGCTTGAAACCAGGAGGTGGAGGTTGCCGTGAGCCAAAATCACACCACTGCACTGCAGCCTGGTGACAGAGTGAGACTCCATCCCCTCCACCACCAAAAAAAAAAAAAAGGCAAGCACAGTGTCTCATTCCTGTAATCCCAGCACATTAAGAGGCCGAGGTGGGCAGGTCACCTGACGTCAGGAGTTCGAGACTAGCCTGACCAACATGGAGAAATCTCACCTCTACTAAAAAAACAAAATTAGATGGGCGTGGTGACAGATGCCTGTAATCCTACCATACAAGAGGCTGAGGCAGGACAGTCACTTGAACCCGGGAGGCAGAGGTTGCAGTGAGCTGAGATTGCGCCATTGCACTCCAGCCTGGGCAACAAGAGCGAAACTCCATCTCAAAAAAAAAAAAAAAAAAAAAAACTCCTCCTGCCCTGGGCTTCCAAAGTGCTAGTACTATAGGCATGTGATTAAGTTTTTTAGACTATACCCCAAATTAAATATTTTCCAAAAACCATTAATGACTGAACATTTTTAAGCAGCAAGAACAGTTCATGTCTTTGTTTGTTTTGTTCCAAGGATGTAATAAGCAAAACATTGTGATGACTAAGGTGAGAAGAGCTTTTCTCTTTGGTTTGTGGAAAGTCTTACATTACCCCAATACCCAGGCGGAGGTCTCAGCCCCTCTGAAGGCAGAGGATCCTCACATCGAGTCCCCAGGGCCCCTTCTGCATCTCTCACTCAGAAAAAAGAAAATCAGAGGAGAATAGCAAGTCCCTTTTGTAGCACAATTCTCCTAATGTCGTGGTCCAATAAGAGTGTAAAATTAAATGCACATTTCAATATGTATTTTGCAATATGTATTTCCGTGACAACGGAAATAACATCTGTCTTGCCCATTTCTCCCTTTCCCAAGAGGTTCACATAACAGTGTATTCCAACTAGATGATATCTGGCTAATCGACCTATTTCCTACATAGACAAATGTTTACGATTAGCCAACCTAACTTGAGATTGAGTTGTTCTAATCATCTTAGATAGCCTATGAATTCTAAGCATCTTCCAGATAGCCTACGCATTTTTAATATCAGTAGTAAGTACAACTTCCATAAAATTTCCAACTCAAGCTGACATTGCTTCATGGATTCTCTGGGCTACTTGTGCTGGACCTCAAAGCAGGTTCAAGAGGGCACCTGGAACACAGGGTCCTACCTCAGGGGTGCTCCACTTCCCTTCATCAAAGACATCCCCCAGGATGAAGATGACTTCCGGCTGCAGCAACCATAGAGCTGTCTGGAAGGCTCTCTCCATCTGCCATTCCCTTGGCACCAATAGGAAAAAGTAAGTCATCAGTCTTTCCTGGGTGGAGGCCACTTCTGTATTATGCAGCATTTAAACAGCAAACTAAATGGTTCCACTCTCCTTCTTTCAGAGTCCCACTCTTGCATTCCCATCCCCAGCTTGAAGGGCCAAAGAGTCCGTATCTGATTAAAGGTGGGGAATGCCGGGCGCGGTGGCTCAAGCCTGTAATCCCAGCACTTTGGGAGGCCGAGACGGGCGGATCACGAGGTCAGAAGATCGAGACCATCCTGGCTAACACGGTGAAACCCCGTCTCTACTAAAACTACAAAAAAACTAGCCGGGCGAGGTGGCGGGCGCCTGTAGTCCCAGCTACTCGGGAGGCTGAGGCAGGAGAATGGCATGAACTCGGGAGGCGGAGCTTGCAGTGAGCTGAGATCCGGCCACTGCACTCCAGCCTGGGCGACAGAGCGAGACTCCGTCTAAAAAAAAAAAAAAAAAAAAAAGGGTGGGGAATTAAGTATCAGAGAAGAGTCTGGCCACCCCTCCCACATACCCCAGACACTGTGGTGTGCAGGAACAGGCCCCACTCTGCACCCTGCAGCCATCACTCAGTCAAGACACAACTGGACCTGAGAGAGCCTAATGCAGCTTCCAAAGATGTTCGACGTAGACTGATTTTGTACCACACAGAGATGATTGTATCTAGCTTAATTTTCACCACTTCTTAAAGGGAATTCAACTTCCTTCTTTGCTTCCAAGTTGGAGGGGAGATGACAATAGGTTAGTCAATATCAAAACAGTAAATCCTGTAGATTTCAGACATGCAAGTAATCCTCCCAGAGGTAAAACAAGCAAATGAAAAGAGCCTGGAGGCCGGGCGTAGTGGTTCATGCCTGTAATCCCATCACTTTGGGAGGCCAAAGTGGGCAGATCATGAGGTCAGGAGTTCGAGACCAGCCTGGCCAATATCATGAAACTCTGTCTCTTACTAAAAATACAAAGTCAGCTGTGCATGGTGGCAGGGGCCTGTGGTACCAGCTACTTGGGAGGCTGAGGCAGGAGAATTGCTTGAACCCAGCAGGCGGAAGTTGCAGTGAGCTGAGATCACGCCACTGCACTCCAGCCTGGGTGACAGAGAGAGACTCCGTCTCAAAAAGAAAAAAGAGCCTGGGATCTGCAACCTGACAGATAATGGCTTAACATCCCAGCTCAATCCACTGAAAAGCTGTGTGCCTTTGACAATACTGCCTATTCTGATTCCCAGTGTCTTCATTGGTAAATGGAGATTTTATTTATTTATTTATTTATTTATTTTGAGACAGAGTTTCCCTCTTGTTGCTCAGGCTGGAGTGCAATGGCGTGATCTCGGCTCACTGCAACCTCCACCTCCCGGGTTCAAGTGATTCTCCTGCCTAGCTGGGATTATAGGCATGTGCCACCACACCCAGCTAATTTTGTATATTTAGTAGAGACGGGGTTTCTCCATGTTGGTCAGGCTGGTCTTGAACTTCTGACCTCCAGTGATCCACCTGCCTCAGCCTCCCAAAGTGCTGGGATTCCAGGTGTGAGCCACCACACCAGGCCGGTAAATGGGGATTTTAAACCCTACTTGCACAGGATAGTTATGGGGTTAAATGAGACAGCGTTTGTAAAGCATGGCACAGGCACACGGCAGGTGCACAAAAATGTCAGTGCTTGCTCAGCCCTCCCCGTCTTCAACCTAACCAAATCCAGCCTATGTCATTTTCCTAAGGAATCCAAACCTTTCCTCCTTTTTAAGGCATTTTCCTGGCTGCTCCTCCTCTACAAAAGGGAAATGCTATGTCCTGGGATATAGAAATAGGGGAAAGTAGGCTAGGTGCAGTGGCTCACACCTGTAATTTCAATGCTTTGGGAGGCCAAGGCGGGAGGATCACTTGAGGCCAAGAGTTCAAGACCAGCATGAGCAACACAGCAAAATTCCATCTCTACAAAGAAGTAAAAATTAGCTGGGCATAGTGGCACAAGCCCATTGTCCTAGCTACTTGGGCGGCTGCAGTGAGCTATGATCCTTCTGCTGCCCTCCAGCCTGGGCAACAGAGCTAGACCTCGTTTTAATCAGTCAATGTAATTTCTGGTCAGAGGAAGGTTTTTAGATCCCAAGTTAACCACTGAATGGTACACATCACCCATAAAAGGCTTTTTACCCAAGATCTCTCTCAAAATACATTTCTCCGTTTTTCTTATTTTATTTTACTTTTTCTTAGAGACAGGCTCTTGCTCTGTCACTCAAGCTGGACTGCGGTGCCATGATCACAGCTCACTGGAGGCTCAAACTCTGGTGCTCAGAATAGCTCAAATGATCCTCCTGCCTCAGCCTCCTGAGTAACTAGGACTACAAGTAGGCATAAATAGCAAAAATTAGCTATTTTTTGGTTTTTGTTTATTGTTTTTTTGTAGAAATGAGGTCTTGCCACGTGGCCCAGGCTGGTCTCAAATTCCTGGCCTCAAGCAATCCTTCACCTCCACCTCCTAAAGTGCTGGGATTACAGGCGTGAAGCACTGCACCCAGCTTCTCAGTTTCTCTTGATTTAATGTTATTCACCACGGAAAGTAAAAATCTAGAAACAGCAGCATGAAGAATACACAGAAGGCTACTTGGAGAGACTAGACATCAATCAGGATCGATGTGTAAGACCAAGACACTGCAGGCCCTGCACCGGCCCTTCTTGAGCTCACACCTCCTTTGGTTAAAACTCTTAGTAATAAAATAAAAAAATAATAGTAATAATAATAATAATAAATTTTTAAAAACTCTTAGTAAAAAGGTATAGCTGCTCCTTCATTATTCTTTATTCTTTTGTTTTTGTTTTGAGACGGAGTCTTGCTCTGTTGCCCAGGCTGGAGTGCAGTGGTGCAATCTCAGCTCACTGAAACCTCCGCCTCCCGGGTTGAAGCGATTTTCCTATCTCAGCCTCCCAAGTAGCTGAGATTATAGGCGCCCGGCACCATGCTCGGCTAATTTTTCTATTTTTAGTAGAGATGGAGTTGCACCATGTTGGCCAGGCTGGTCTTGAACTCCTGACCTCAGGTGATCCGCCTGCCTTGGCCTCCCAAAGTGCTGGGATTACGGGCATGAGCCACTGCACCCGGCCTAAAAATAATTTGTTTAAAAAGCTTCCTGGTGAAAAAAAAAAACAAAGGACCATGCAGGGGCAGGTGTGAGTCAGGAAGACAGGATCCTTCCCTAGGGTGACAGCCACAAATCTGCTCTGCTCCTCTGCTGTCTAGAGGAGGCTGAAACCCAACAGGCTCAAAGTTACACACAATGAAGGTGAGATGGGACCATCAACCCAGATCTGTGTCCTCCCTGCCCAGGGGACCAGTCCCGGCACCAGGCATTGTGTGGCATCTTCTTGTCATTGCGTGGCACATCTTGTGATGTTTCTTGTCTTCACCCAGTTACAAACAAGGAGGCAGGGGCTCAGAGGGGCCCTAACAACTTGTCCAAAGTCACAAAGCGACGTGGCCCAGATCCGACTCCCACATTATGGGGCCCTGTATACATCCTCAGTAAATGGTAAATTCAAGGAAAAGTCAAATGTCCCTAAATGTCCTCCTTTAAGAGGAAAATAACTAAGAGTAACCTAAAGCCATTAAGCCTTGCCTATGAGGAGAGAGCTATACCGTTTTGCCTACAGAATTTTAGAAAGAGTCCTGATTTTACCTCTTACCTTCGTAATTTGTCCAGCCAGTGGCCTAAGAATTCCCCAAGCAAATGGGTGTCAGCCAAAAACATGGCTTTGAGCACAGGCTCACGTGTGGCCTGTTTACCATCATAGGCTGTGGTTTTCACTTCAGGCCAATTACACTGAAAGATCGCTAAGAAATAGATTAAAAATTCACAAAATAGAAGCACAGCGAAGACAACAGCTATGAGTTTCAACAGCAATGCACTCTTCCTCTTTAACGGATGAAAATTCTGTCTTTCAAATCCCATTTCAATCATAGCCATTTCTCAAGCAACAACAAATCCATCAAGGGTTCACCATGAGAAAACTGCACAGCCCTGGGTAGGGTGATGGCATCCAGGTCTTAGCTGGGCACCTACAGGGAAAAGGAAGAGAATTCAGTTATGTTCCCTAATAATACAGGTATCACACCTCCCTCTATTAAGAACTAATGAGTTGCCCGGGCGCGGTGGCTCAAGCCTGTAATTCCAGCACTTTGGGAGGCCAAGATGGGCGGATCACAAGGTCAGGAGATCGAGACCATCCTGGCTAACATGGTGAAACCCCGTCTCTACTAAAACATACAAAAAAAAAAAACTGGCCAGGCGAGGTGGCAGCTGCCTGTAGTCCCAGCTAATGTAGTCCCAGCTACTCGGGAGGCTGAGGCAGGAGAATGGTGTAAACCCGGGAGGCGGAGCTTGCAGTGAGCTGAGATCCGGCCACTGCACTCCAGCCTGGGCGACAGAGTGAGACTCTGTCTCCAAAAAAAAAAAAAAAAAAAAAAAAGAACTAATGAGTTACACAATCCTATCTACATGTCCAAATTAATTGTCTTATACTTTTACAATAATATGCCAGATTACTAATAAGGAAAAAACTGATCTTTCCAACTCCTTCAAGCTCTCCATACCTCCATATGCCAGAATAAAGCTATTAGAATGATCTTCTCACCAAGATGATAGTTTCGTTAACATTCTAGAAATCATCAAATGTGAATCCATGAGAATGATGTGTGTTAAGGTAGGAGACATAATGGAAAATTCAGCATTATTTAAGTGTAATTGGACTCCTAGGATTCCCCACCACCCCTCCTTGACCTTAAAAATCAACAGGTCATAAGGCCCCAGTAACGTGTTGCTTTTGGTGTTAATACATCACTTTTCTACTCTGCTGTTCCACAAAATAAAGTGAATATTCATGGACAATGTGCTTCAAAGATCCAAGGAATTCATTCCACATTGGACCCGGAGGCCAGGATCTGACACTGAAACCACCTTTGCAAAATTATAATAGTAACCCAAATCTGACATAGTTGACTCCGTCTTATTTCTGACTGCCAAGCTGTCCTTGGTCATTCCTGGATATAGGCCAAGCTAACTTTGGGAGGAATTTAGTTTATAGCTTTTTGTTTGGTTGCTTGGTTTTGGTTTTGAATTTTGAAATGGGGTCTCCCTCTGCCACCCAGGTTGGAGTGTAGTGGTGTGATCTGGGCTTACTGCAACCTCCACCTCCTGGGTTCAAGTGATTCTCATGCCTCAGCCTCCCAAGTAGCTGGGATTGCAGGCACCCATCACCATGTCCAGCTAATTTTTGTATATTTTTTTATTAGAGATGGGTTTTCACCATGTTGGCCAGGTTGGTCTCAAACTCCTGACCTCAAATGAACCACCTACCTCAACCTCCCAAAGTGCTGGGATTACAGACGTGAGCCACTGTGCCAGGCCAGTTTACAGTTTAACTTTGAAGCAAGAATGATGATAATAGTCTCCTCTCTGTTCTGAGGCTGAAACCACCTTTGAAAACTAATGAAAGGTTTCGAGATTAGGATTAGGGGAGGGGCTTGAATTCTGCTGAATGTAGTTTCTATGATCCCTTATTGCTCAGGAGTCATGTGGCCAGAGGTAACAAAGATTTGCGACTTCCCTCAGTTTCTCCTATAGATAACGTCACTATTGTAGACCCTAAGATTGATCTTTTCAGGTATTTTTCAGACTTTCGGGCAACTGATTTACCCCACCTGACTGACCCTGCCGGGACCCGTATTTCGTGACTCACCTGATCCTATGACCCCACCCAGAAGCGGGCTCAGTACACAAGGACTGTTTTCCACGCCCCTATGATTTCATTCCAACCAATCAGCACCTCCTGTTCCCCAGCTCCCTGCCCACAATACTGTCCATAAAAACCCTAACCTCTGAGATTCAGAGAGACTGATTTGAGTAATAATTCCATCTCAGTGGCCAGCCTTACGTTAATTAAGTTAATTAAACTCTTTTTTTTTTTTTGAGACACAGTCTCACTCTGTCACTCAGGCTGGAGTGCAATGTCACAATGTCAGCTCACTGCAACCTCTGCCTCCCAGGTTTAAGCGATTCTCATGCCTCAGCCTCCCGAGTAGCTGGGATTATAGGTGTGTGCCACCACACCCAGCTAATTTGTGTGTGTGTGTGTGTGTATTTTTAGAAGAGATGGGGTTTTGCCATGCTGCCCAGGCTAGTCTTGAACTCCTGGGCTCAAGTGATTCACCCGCCTCAGCCTCCCAAAGTGCTAGGATTACAGGCGTGAGCCACCATGCCCAGCCTAAACTACTTATTTACTGCAGTACCATAGTCTCAGTGAATGGTTTTGTCTGTGCAGTGGGCAGGAAGAACCTGTGGGTGACTGCCACAGAGCCACCATCTGTGAATGTGAATACTGAACACTGCAACCAGATTATATGTTTTCACAAAAATGGGTTTTCCCCTGCAAATATGCCTTAAAACTCTGGATGGCCTTCTTTTATAAGATATTTATGTATAGTGGCTTCTGTAAGGGAACCTTCGAATTTTTTAAGGATTCATCCCAAATATTGGATGAGCTTTGCATCCTGTAAAGAAAGCATCTATTTCTGAGACCTACGAAGAGAAAAGTTGGTAAAACACTACCCTGAGATAGGCTATAGATGGTGGCATTCTACCTCAAGGTTCTTCAACTTGTGCTCGAGATGAGAATCTGAGAAGGGCGGTGACCTTCCCAGGGAGGGTATAGGGAGCTCAGATGTCAAAGAAGCCCCTGAAGTCTTATGGGGTGGAAGCTTTGGGAGACACTGACCAGAAACCCTAATTGAACCAATAAAAAAATAAAATCCTTTTCTAGGAAGATGATTTTCTAACACGAACCTAGGAACTTCATGTCGCACACAGGCATGGAGTTAAGAACCACCTCATGCCGCATAATTGCAGTCACCACATACCTTTATCTTCCAACTGGGGACAGCATTGAGTGAAAAATGTCACTAATAAAACTTAAAACAGAGCAATGGTGTAAACCAGGACTGTCCCAGGCAACTTAGGATGTGCAGCCACCCTGTGCTGCCCGTAATCCCAGCACTTTGGAAGGCCAAGGCAGGTGGATCACCTGAGGTCAGGAGTTCAAGACCAGAATGGCCAATGTGGTGAAACCTCGTCTCTACTAAATACAAAAATTAGGCAGGCATGGTGGTACATGCCTGTAATCCCAGCTACTCAGGAGGCTGAGGCAGGAGAACTGCTTGAATCCAGGACGCGGAGGTTGCAGTGAGCCAAGATCATGCCACTGCACTCCAGCCTGGGCAACACAGTGAGACTCTGTCTCAAAATAAATAAAGGGGGAACAGCAAACAAATACTGGATTTTAAGTATGTCCTTTCAGACAGAGAGGTCAAAAGTAGCTTTGCATATCATCTGGAGTCAACTGCTCTTGCTGAAATTCTCCTCCAAAACCCCACAACATATTTATCACCTGGTCAAGATGTACTTTATCTTCTTCACTTAGAACTTTTGTAACCTCTCTTTTCTCTAAGGCAAAGCACACATGCCGCATAATTGCAGTCACCACGTACGTTTATCTTCCAACTGGGGACAGCTTTGAGTAAAAAATGTCACTGATAAAAATTAGAGCAATGGTGTAAACCAGGACCGTCCCAGGCAACCCAGGACGTGCAGCCACCCTGCGCTGCCCGTGCTTACTCTGACACAGAGGAGAAGCAGCAGTGCCTGTTTGCAGTCACCCACCTGATCTGTAAGGAACTTCGGAACGGGCTCCACAAGTGTCAGGAACCATGCACCAGTATGGTGAAGGGCCTGGGTTCTCTGCTGGAGTGCCTCTAAGGGATAAATAACAGGTTCCTTAATGCCAGGCAATTTCCTTTGTTTTGATTAAATCAAATATGTCAAAGGCAACCATTCGATCTTAATATCTCATTTTCTTTCAAAAGGCCTAGAATCTCCTAAAATCCTGAAAGCTAAACCCAAAACCATAGTTGAAACTTTCTAACACCGTATGTTTCCTCTAGCTGGACGGAACTAGTTGAGAGGGAAGGAATGCTGACCTTCTGGGGCGGGCTGAGGAGTCTTCCAGTATGCAAACCCTTGCTGTTTTGTAGGTTTCTGATTTCCCAAGATGGAATACCAGAATGACAACTTGAAAATTGCTCTTCTACACCCCCTTCTTTTCATCAGAGTGAGCCCTGTTTGAGCAGTTATGACTAAGAGGTGCAAAAAGCATCAGTGAGTGGTGAGCAGGCTGGAGACAAGGCTGGCTGACAGCCCGAAGTGGGGCTCAGGGCAGGATAGTATGGAAAACTGCAGTCCTCCAGCTTCCCTGGATGAAGAGAGGATGAAGGACAGAGGACACAGAGACAGACTGTGGGTTTGTACTTCCAGGCAACCCGGGCTCTCCCCGCCTCAACTCCCCACTGAGCTCACTCAGCATGGCCTCTTACTCCTCGTGGATAAGCGACCTCGATCTTACTGCAAACAAACCGGGTCAGTGGAGTTCTGGCGCTTCCCTCAAACTTCTATGTTCTTGTTTCAGGTTCTAGACAGGCATGAGCGGGCCGGGTGAGGGCTCTTCCCATCCACCAGGAATGTCAAGTGATCACCAGGTGACCATTCAACAGTTATCACATTGCCTCCCTAAAAACGATCATTTCACAGCCAGCGCCAGGGAGAGACAATCTCCTGAGGGTCCACAGCTGCCACATTAAAGTGTAAATTAAATGCAGATGCCAGGGAGAGGCAACTTCCTGGACATACACATCAGGAGACAAAATGGCAGAGTATGACCTTCTGGGGGCACTCCACAGGAAACAGGAAGAAAGCTTCAGCTACTCCACAGGAAACAGGAAGAAAGCTTCAGATACTCCACAGGAAACAGGAAGAAAGCTTCAGAGGGGCATGTGTACAGCTTCCTAAACACACTGATCATGCTCACCTCCCAAGCGTAAGGAGGGCACTGCGCACGCAGGCAGCGCACCCTAAGGGAAATCATGGGGAAGGGGTGCAAGACAAGTGGGTCAGCCTATAAAGTCCTAGGATTACAGTTAAACACTGCACTTGACTTTCACACTGCCCTCTTGGGTCTCTTCCAAGTGTACTTTTCTTTCTTTCCTGTTCTAAAGATTTTTAATAACTTTCACTCCTGCTGAGAAACTTGCCTCAGTCTCTTTTTCTGCCTTATGTCCCTCAGTGGAATTCTTTCTTCTGAGAAGGCAAGAATTGAGGTTGCTGCAGATTTGTAAGGATTTGCTACCCGTAAATCGACTACCTTCTACCCCTAACATTCTTTTTTCCAAAAAGGAATTTAAAATATCCTACACAGAGCCATTCAAGCAGAGGAAGACTTGGAAGGAAAGAAGGAAGGAGGATAGTAGAAAAGCAGAGAAGAGCAGAAGGGGTTGGGGGAGGAAAAAGGACAGAGATAGAGAGAGAGCAAGCAAGCTGGCTGGCACTGTTACATATTTTCCTGAGAAGACCCTGATAACCATGTGAAGCAGCTATCTGGTATAACATATTTTTTTTTTTTTTTTTTTTTGAGACAAGGTCTTGCTGGATTACAGTGGTGTGATCCCAGCTCAGTGCAATCTCCACCTCCTGGACTCAAGCAGTCCTCCCACTTCAGCCTCTGGAGTAGTCGGGATTACAGGTGGGCGTGCGCCACCACACCCCACTAATTTTTGCATTTTTCGTAGAGACAGGGTTTCACCATGTTGCTTAGGCTGGTCGCAAACTCCTGGACTCAAGCAATCCACCGGCCTCGGCCTCCCAAACTACTGGGATTACAGGCATGAGCCACTACGCCCAGCCCAACACAATCATTTTTTTTTTTTTTTTGAGACAAGAGTCTCGCTCTGTTGCCCAGGCCGGAATGCAGTGGCATGATCTCGGCTCACTGCAAGCTCCGCCTCCCGGGTTCATGCCATTCTCCTGCCTCAGCCTCCCGAGTGGCTGGGACTACAGGCGCCCGCCACCACACCCGGCTAATTTTTGTATTTTTAGTAGAGACAGGGTTTCATCGTGTTAGCCAGGATGGTCTCAATCTCCTGATCTCGTGATCTGCCCGCCTCGGCCTCCCAAAGTGCTGGGATTACAGGTGCCACTGTGCCCAGCCCACAATCATTTTTTAAAAGATAAGAGTGGCTGTGCAGGACATGGTGGCTCATGCCTGTAATCCCAGCACTTTGGGAGACAAAGGCAGGTGGATCATTTGATGCCAGGAGTTCAAGACCAGCCTAGCCAACATGGTGAAACCCCATCTCTACTAAAAACATTTAATACAAAAATTAGCTGGGTGTGGTTGAATGAGTGTGTAATCCCAGACACTTGGGAGGCTGAGGCACAAGAATCACTTGAACCCAGGAGGCGGAGGTTGCAGTGAGCCGAGATCTCACCGTAGCAATCTAGCCTGGGCGACAGAGTGAGACTCCATCTCAAAAAAAAAAAGGCTGGGCGCAGTGGCTCACACCTGTCATCCCAGCACTTTGGGAGGCTGAGGCGGGCAGATCACGAGGTCAGCAGATCGAGACCATCCTGACTAACACAGTGAAACCCCATCTCTACTAAAAACACAAAAAAATTAGCCGGGCGTGGTGGTGGGCACGTGTAGTCCCAGCTACTCGGGAGGCTGAGGGAGGAGAATGACATGAACCTGGGAGGCGGAGCTTGCAGTGAGCTGAGATCGTGTCACTGCACTCCAGCCTAGGCAACAGAGCGAGACTCTGTCTCAAAAAATAAAAATTTAAAATAAAAATTTAAAAAATTTTTAAAAAAGATAACAGAGCAAAAACCTATTTAGAAAACTTTTGACAGCAGATCCTTAAACAGAATACCTTTTGGGCAGGTGGCTCACACCCTGTAATCCCAGCACTTTGTGGGGGGAGGCAGGGAGATCACTTGAGGCCAGGAGTTCAAGACCATCCTGGCCAATATGGCGAAACCCCATCTCTACTAAAAATACAAAAATTAGCCTAGTGTAGTAGTGCATGCCTGCAATCCCAGCTACTCAAGAGGCTGAGGCAGGAAAATCACTTGAACCTGGGAGGCACAGCTTGCAATGAGCAGAGATCAGGCCACTGCACTCCAGTCTGGGCAACAGAGGGAGACTGTCTCAAAAACGAAACAAAACAAAAAGCACCTTTTGCTCAAATTTTGGGAAATTCCTTTTCTTTCTCTACCAAAGATGCATTATTGTCTTCAATGTTATGGCCAAAACATGCCCTCTTTTCCCACGTGAAATGAAGACAGAATAACTTGTAGGACTGATAGGCTCGGGGAAGTGATTTCTTCTCTCCCTAGAAATGGCACCAGCATTAGGTAACGAGGCTTCACTCCTACCGGCCGACTTGCTTCCCAATGGGTATAAATTGACTTATTTCACTCACTTGCTGGGCCAAACCTTTCCCCAGCCTCCTCATTTTCTGCCTCCCCATGTTCTGACTCAGACAAAGGAAAACCTGCTGACCACCAGCACCTGGGAGCTCTGCAGACACCCCCACCCAGGGGAGCCCTACCTTTTCGTCAGGAAAGAGGAAACCGTGAGAGCTCTGTGAGGAGTTAGCCACTTGTTCCTTGGTGAGTATTTTATCCCGCATGCTGCGAATACCACCAGCAGAGATGGCAGCTATGTTGAACTGGAAAGCAGCCAAATGGCAGCGCTGCTCTGTGACCGTATGCCAGCCACTTACCCCCTCCTGAACCTCACAACCTGCGGTATCCACCTCAGTGCTTTTGTGAGGATTGATGGAAAAAAAATCAGAGCTTAGTCCTCAGCTTTAAAGTTCAAAATTTCTTAAAGTATTACTGTTTTCACTCCCAAATTCAATTTATCAGTCTCATTAAGATCATCCAACGATAACCCAGCAGGAACAGTGTCGAGCCTCCACAAGACAGTTCAGACCGGCCTAGGATGGAAAGGCAGACACGCACCTCTCTGGTACCTCCAGACATATCTGTAAAATATGGAAGCTAGATTATATATTACCTATAGTTTTCCAGGCAAATCACCAAGTCACCTCACCTTTTAAAGACAGAGAGATTGGTACGAGGCTCTAAGTTGGCATCTGCTTCCCCAAATCAGAATTCATTTATCTGAAATGAAACCAAATATGTGTGTTTTGTCAGTGAGTGAGCTTTCATTTAGTTAACTATTAACAGGAAACCTGACCAACTTTGAAAGTAAAAAAGAAGCTGAGAAGCTAAAGAAATAAGACATTGGGTTAGTGGCCAAGAATACCTATCTTGAATTATAATATAAAATATCTGTATTTATAGATAAATTATATGAAACATTTCTGCCCAACATGTATGAATAATCACTGCAAGCCATAATTGGGAGCAAAATATTTTATCTTTAGCCCAGGTATGGTGGCTCACGTCTGTAATCCCAGCATTTTGGGAGGCCGAGGCGGGCAGATCACCCGAGGACGGGAGTTCAAGACCAGCCTGACCAACATGGAAAAACCCCGTCACTACTAAAAATACAAAATTAGCTGGGGTGGTGGTGCCTGTAATCCCAGCTACTCAGGAGGCTGAGGCAGGAGAATCGTTTGAACCCGGGAGGCAGAGGTTGTGATGAGCCAAGATCGCACCATTGCACTCCAGCCTAGGCAACAAGAGCGAAACTCCATCTCAAAAAAAAAAAAAAAAATTATCTTTGAACTTTTCGATTTGTATTTATTTTTATTTTTATTTTTTTAGAGATAGGGTCCCACTCCACTGCCCAATGTAAATCAAAAATGAAATCCTAAGGCCCCTCAACCATCTGCATGGACCCCCACCAAGGGCATTCCAGAGTTAATCTTGTTTTAGGTTGTTTTAAGAAAAACATGTTTAGGCCTGATGGGAGGTGGGGGTGGAACTTGCCTCATTTTGTCCTCCTCCCTTTTGGAATTCAGGAAAAGCAGACCAGCATTTAACATGCTGGATACTAACCTGGAGGCTTTATCTGCATGGTAGAACTTCAGTCTCCACAGCCTCTTACTGTAACCCAGACATTCCTTTCCATTGATAATAAATCTTTCAACCAAATGCCAATCAGAAAATTTTCAATCTACCTATAACCTGGAAGCCCCCGACCCCCCCACCGCCTCAGTGGTCCCACCTTTACAGACCGAACCAATGTACATCTTAATCGTACATGTACTTGACTGATGACTCATGGCTCCCCTAAAATGTATAAAACCACACCGGGCCCCGACCACCTTGGATACATGTTCTCAGAGTCTCCAAAAGGCTGTGTCACCAGCATGGTCACTCATATTTGGCTCAGAATAAATCCCTTCAAACATTTTACAGAGTTTGACTTTTTGTCAACCGCAGGCTGCGTCGCTCCCGCGCCCAAGCGATCCTTTCACCCACAACTTTCCGAGTAGCAGGGACTTCAGGTGCGTGCCACCACTCCCGGCTTTTTTTTTTTTTTTTTTTTTTTTGGTACCTTTTGTAGTTGTGGAAGGCCGCAGGGGGGGTCTTGCTATTTTGCCCAGGTTGGTCTCGAACTTCTGGGCTCAAGCCATCCTCCCCCTTCGGCCTCCCAGAGTGCTGGAATTACAAGCCTGAGCCACCGCGCCCAGCCTATCTTTTAATTTTTAACTTCAAAGTTATCGTTAAAAATCTAATCCCCCCAAAATATGAAAAAAATAATGTACTGATCTGTAGTTTTTCTCTAATTCACTATCTTAAATATATTAATTGCAATCTCATCAACGGCGACTTACTTGCATTTGAAATTTTCCACCTTAAGCGGTTTTTGATAAGATGGATTTTTGAAAAAATCTACACCAGTAAACTAGAGTGAGAGACCCCTGCAAAGTCATACATGGGCCCTAAGTCATCGAGATTTTCCAGCAAATAATTTGCAGAGTGCTGTTTTTCCTAGGTTAACTTGCAATCCTAAAACGGAAGGAGGTTCCGTTTTTAGAAGTGTAAATGTTGTCACACGGGCGCAAGAATACATACAACAGCCATGCTTTCCAGCTCTGCGCACAATGCCAGGCAGATGGGGAGCACCGGGCGGTGCGGGAGCCCTTTCACCTGGGCATGGCGGCTGCGGCGGCCGAGGGACCCGGGACCTGCAGCCCGAGCCGGCGCGCACCCAACCAACTTCCTGTTTCCGCGGTAGCGCGCGGGACTGTCACTGCAGCCCCGCCCCAGCGGCCTCAGGCGGTGGGGAAGCCAGAGTCTTCCCGGAGCCCACGGCGTGCCACGGCCGGCGGCGGAAGCGGGCTCTCTGAAGGGGCCGGCGGGTGGCGCCCGGGGCTCCGCAGCTTGTGATCCCCAGAGCGGACAACCCCAGCTGGGGCTCCGTGCGCAGCTGCGGGGAGTAAAGGCCGGAACCTACGCTCGGCGGCCGCGTCCGGGCCCCTAGCGCCCTCCCCGAAGCGCCCGGCAGGCTCGGCAGTCCGACTGTGGCAGTACAGAGCACCCTGGGCAGTCGCCGCAGAAGGGCGGGGGGCGCGGGAAAGGCATTTTGGGGACACAGGAGAGCTCCGAGGGCGACGCCAGGCGAGCTGTCGTTAGGGCCCAGGAAAGGCCTAACGGGGCGCACGGGCGGGTAGGGGAACTCGCGCCCCGCGCCATGCGCCCGGTCTCCTGACGCCAGGACCGGCTTCTGAGCACAGCCACCGCGGCGGCCGGGGCCGGCCACTGCTCCCCGCGAGCTCGCGTCCCCGCCCCAGAACCCCCCAGAGCGCGCGTCCGAGCTCCAGGCCCTGGAGGAGCCGGGCGGACAGCTAACAGCCCCCGAGCCGCTCCCGGGCTCCGCGCGTGGTGGCAGCTAGGCCCTGCCTCACCGTTCCCCTCCCGCGCCGCGCTGCCGCTCCGGGACCCACCGGACCTGGCTGGTGCCCTCCAGAGATGTGCTTAGGAAGTGTGTGATGAATAAAGGAGACAATCAGGATAACTATATTTATTATGCACTTGCTTTTCTCTCACTGATGTTACTAATTTTAATGGTGTACCACAGCGTGTTCCCGTTTTCTAAGTGCTCTCACATCCGTTCAAAAAATCCTCAAAATAAGCCTGTATATTAAAAGCAGGAGCCATTATTCCATATTTCAAGAAGTAAACAAGCTCAGAGTAATAATCCACGTAGAGCCTTCCAACCAGCCCATTCTGGTACATTTTTTACAAATCTATAAGTATGGTTAATACACGGAGATGTGGTATGAGGAATTATCTAGGACACAGCCAGCAAAATGTCTGGTATACAGTAAGTATGCGGTAAATGGTTATTATTAAAAATATTGTAATATCTTCTGATATGATCAGGTGAACAACTTTGACATAATAGAAACTGGAACAGCCTAATTCCATAAACACACTGATATGACACCGGGGATTGTTTGCAGCCTCACCTCTATTCTCTCTGACTAACAAAAGGAAACTAGACCCAGTTAAGCCTTTAACTCTAACCACGGGCTAAAGGAAATACAGGGGCCAAATGAACCTATTAGATTACACCACCAGAAAGTAATCTGCCAAATCCAGAATGTGGGAAATTCTACAAACCAAATGACCCAATTTCTTTATTCAAAAATCAATGTTCAGAGGCTGAAGTGAGAGGATTGCTTAAGGCCAGAGTTCAAGGCTGTAGTGAGCTATGATCACAGCTGTGAATAGCCGCTGCACTCCAGGCTGGGCAACACAGCCAGAACCCCCATGTCTTTAAAAAAAAGAGGGTGAGGGGAGCTTGAAAGACACATTAGCCAAATGCAGTTTGTGGACCTTGTTTGGGTCACGATTAAGACAAACTTTTACATAAATAAATGGCATTTTTGAAAACACTGGGGGCCAGGCACGGTGGCTCACGCCTGTAATCCCAGCACTTTGGGAGGCCAAGGCGGGTAGATCACGAGGTCAGGAGATCGAGACCATCCTGGCTAACACAGTGAAACTCTGTCTCTACTAAAAAAAAAATACAAAAAATTAGCCGGGCGTGGTGGCGGGCACCTGTAATCCCAGCTACTCGGGAGGCTGAGGCAGGAGAATCACTTGAACCCAGGGGACAGAGGTTGCAGTGAGCCGAGATTGCACTACTGCACTCCAGCCTGGGAAACAAGAGTGAAACTCCATCTCAAAAACAAAACAATAAAAAAAGGGTTTTTTCTTCCTCTTGACATCAAACGTGTCGTTTCCAACACCACTTCTCCAACTCCCTGATGCCAACTTGGTGTCCTACAATTCCTTTCTGACACTACCTGGAATTTTTGTGTGACTCCATGGTCCCACAAGCCTGTCCTCACTTAGACAACAAAGTACTGGGTTCCCAGGTTAGCCTAACTGCTGCTGATTGACCTACAAAGGAAAGTTCCTACAAAGAGGTTTCAACTACCTCATTACCCCAAGGTTCAATAATTTGCTAGAATGACTCATAGAACTCAGGAAAAGCTGTGCTTACTCTTCCGGTTTATTATAAAGGGTACAACAGATGAAGAAGTACCCAGGACAAGGTAAGTCCCGAGTGCAGAAGCCACTGCCTTAGTCAAGATGGGGTGTACCACCCTCTGGGATGAGGATGTGTTTGCCAACTTGGAAGCTCCCGGAACCCCATCATTTAGGGGTTTCTATGGAGGCTTCAGTCCATAGGTTTGACTGTGGCCACTGGTGATCAACTCGATTTCCGGCCACTCTCCCTTCCCTGGAGGTTGGGGGAAGGGTGCAGGAAATGCTGATCTTCTAATCAAGCCTGGTCTTTCTGGCAGCCAGCTCCCACCCTGAAGCTAAGTACAAGAGTTGCCTCATTAAAACAAAACAGGCTTTTAACACTCTATCCCTCAAAATTCCAAGGGTTTAGAGCTTTGTGTCAGAAACCAGGGACAACCACCAAATATCTTTCTTGTTATTCCACAGCAACATCAATTCCATCTACAATCCCGATTCCCTTTTGCTATGAAAGGTAACATATTCACAGGCCCTGGGGAGTGGGACATGGCTATCTGGAGGGCACTATTCTGCCTGCCCCAGCATCTAACAGTAAAGACAGCAGCTCAGGAAGCTTGGCAGGGCGGCATTATGGAGCAGGGATTGCAGGGTTGGTTAAAAGACCGTAACACGGCCGGGCGCAGTGGCTCACGCCTGGAATCCCAGCACTTTGGGAGGCTGAGGCAGGCAGATCACCTGAGGTTGCGAGTTCGAGACCAGCCTGACCAACATGGTGAAACCCCCATTTCTACTAAAAATACAAAATTAGCCGGGCGTGATGGTGGGCGCCTGTAATCCCAGCTACTTGGGAGGCTGAAGCAGAAGAATCGCTTGAACCCGGGAGGCCAACGTTACGGTGAGCTAAGAGCGCCACTGCACTCCAGCCTGGGCAACAAGAGCAAAACTCCGTCTAAAAACAAACAAAAGACCCTAACCAAAGTTACCTTCTCAGGGCAATGGGCAATGGAGATAAAATAAAAAGGGAGCTCTTGGAGGAAGACGCGTCGTTAGGCGGTGCGGGCTGTGGTCCGCCCTCTCGTGCTCCTCACTCACCATTGTTCGCTCTCGCCCAGAAACAAGTCGGCCAGGAAGCCGCGCAGCAGCCACGGATTTCCTTTTTCTTTGTCAAGATGGAGTCTCGCTCTGTCGCCCAGGCTGGAGTGAGTGGCGCGATTTCCGCTCACTGCAAGCTCCGCCTCCCGGGTTCCCGCCATTCTCCTGCCCCAGCCTCCCGAGTAGCTGGGACTACAGGCGCCGCCACCGCGCCCGGCTAGGTTTTGTATTTTTAGTAGAGACGGGTTTCACCGTGTCGGCCAGGCTGACTCACTCACCTTGAGTTCTGCAATTATAGGTGTGAGCCACCACACCCAGCCCGGAAGTTTATTTTATTTTTTTTTTATTTTTATTTTTTGAGACGGAGTCTCGCTCTGTCGCCCAGGCTGGAGTGAGTGGCGCGATCTCGGCTCACTGCAAGCTCCGCCTCCCCGGTTCCCGCCATTCTCCTGCCTCAGCCTCCCGAGTAGCTGGGACTACAGGCGCCGCCACCGCGCCCGGCTAATACTGTTTTTTTAGTAGAGACGGGTTTCTCCATGTTGGCCAGTCTAGTCTCAAACTCCCGACCTCGGGTGATCTGCCCACCTCGGCCTCCCAAACTGCTGGGATTATGGGCATGAGCCACCTTACCCGGCAGCCACGGATTTTAAAGATACCGAAACACACCCATGGAACCAGAGGTGGCAAGTCACCGAATTAGAATCCCTCTGAGGAGCCGCAAGGGAAAATCCCTGGAGAAGGTGTGTGCTGACTTGATCAGAGGAGCGAGGGAAAAGAATCGAAGTGAAAGGACCAGTTCAAATGCCTACCAAGACTTTGCGAATCAACTACAAGAAAACCTCCTTGTGGTGAAAGATTTTTTTTTTTTTGAGACAGAGCCTCACTCTGTTTCTGAGGCTGGAGTGCAGCTGCACGGAGCTTGGCTCACTGCAACCTCCGACTCCTGGGCTCAAGCAATTCTCCCGTCTCAGCCTCTTGACCAGCTGGGATTACAGACATGCGCCACCATGCCTGGTTAATTTGTAGTATTTTTAGTAGAGACGGAGTTTCACCATGTTGGTCAAGCTGGTCTCGAACTCCTAACCTCAGGTGATCCACACGCCTCAGCCTCCCAAAGTGCTGAGATTACAAGCGTGAGCCACTGCTCCCAGCCAGTAGTGAAAGTTCTAAGACACCGGATTGTTTCCACATGAGAATCTGCAAATAACTCATTGACTTGCACAGCCCTTCTGAGATTAAGCAGTTTACTTCCATCAGTATGGGAGGAATCTGTGAGGCATTCACAAAGCAGAAATAATGATACAGGCCGGGCATGGTGGCTCACACATGTGATCCTGGCACTTTGGGAGGCCGAGGCAGGCGAATCACTTGAGGTCAGGAGTTTGAAACCAACCTGGCCAACATAGTGATACCCCATCTCTACGGAAAATACAAAAAAAAATTAGCCAGGTGTGGTGGCACGTGATGATAATCCCAGCTACTTGGGAAGCTGAGGCAGGAGAATTGCCTGAACCTGGGAGATAGAGAGTGCAGTGGGCCGAGATGACGCCACTGCACTCCAGCTGGGGCAACAGAGCAAGAGTTTGTCAAGGAAGAGAGGAAGGGAGGGGAAGGTAAGGGAGGGGCACATGGAGCTGTGATTGTTCTGTTAGATCACGCTCTGTAGTTAATATATGCCATAATTCTTCAGTGACCCAGTAAATGCATTATGAAAATATTCATGATCTGCATTCGTTTTACATAAACACGCAAGAGTCTAGTTCTGGTTTTGTTGTTGTTGTTGATGAACCAGGGTCTCACTCTGTCTTCCAGGCTGGAGTGCAGTGGTGCAATCACAGTCACTGCAGCCTCCATTTCCCAGGCTCAAGCAATCCTCCCACCTCAGCGTCCCAAGTAGCTGGGACTACAGACTTGTGCCACCATGCCCGGATAAAGGAGTCTGATTCCAGATACCCAAATTTCCCCTGCTACCAAACTACCCTCTGGTTATGTTGGGGAAATTCTGAAGCACCTCATTTTTACTCCTTTCCTCCTCCTCCTTCCCCCTCTCACCTTATACCACTTCTGACACTGACAGCTACTTGGGATGTGGGAGGGGAACACAGATGGAGACATCCTCCCGCAGGCTGCATTCAGTCCGGTGATTTAAATGACCAGCCTATCAGTGATTGGTGGATGGGATTTATAAGCCATGAGCATAAGTCACTGCACACTCAGGTGATTCGTAAACAGGCTCTGGGCAGAAAAAACACTCGTTCCGAGTGCTTTT